TTCCAACACAGGCCAGTTTCGTCTACATTAAATACTTGGTCTGGCAGATAACCTCCTTCATCAATAATTTTTTTCAACATTTCAGGAAAATCACTCATAGCACTTACACTGTCACTCGCTGCTTCACCATGCACTTTGAAATTATGTAAATTTGCCCTCACTTTGAAACGATTGAACCAACCCCTACTCGCAACGAATTCTTCATCACAATCTCCTTCACTTGCTGCAGTGCAGCTTTTAAATCATTGAAAAGGCTTCTAGCCTTTTCTTGCACTAAAGTAAGGCTAATAGGCATATTACGTTGATTTTGATCGTCTAACCAAATTATCAATAGCTTTTCCATTTCAATAATTAAACCACTGCGTTGCTTAGTAATAATTGTAGCTTTCATTGGGGCAGAGCCTTTCACATGTTCCATAATTCTCACTTTATCCTTTAAAATTGTTCCAATTGTTGACCGACTATAGCCTAATGCTTTTCCAATAACTGATGGCGTTTCACCTCTTTCTGATCGCTTTATTATTTCCACTTTATCTTCAATTGTGATCGTTTTCCTTTTCCTTGATGTACCACCAGCACTTGCATCAGATTTACGCTTTGGAGGCATGGTTATAAGGGTTATTAAGTGGAAAATTTAAGCCAAATACAAAGTTATAAACTCAACAGAGTTCTAATGGCAAAGTAATTAGACTTAAAAAGGTAGATAGTTCTCCTTCCTCAAGCTCACTAACTGCTGAAGCTGGGCAATGTTTTCCTGAGTGTCACAAAGTAGTGCTTGTGTTCGTTATTGGGAACCATCGTACTTAACTCAAATTTTTAATATAATACCCTTTATGGCACTCTATTCTTAAGTAGGAGTTGGCTGTTCTTAACTCAGAGACTTACTGTACAGGTGACAAGGTCCAAGTTTTGGCTGTGGGATTGGGAGGCTGATGTGAGGGTTGCTAGAGATGAGGCCTGGATCTTGAAAGGGTTGTCCACATTGACTCTGAAATCATCAAGGAAAATGGTCAGAGGAGAAAAAAGTTACAGAAATGGACTGAGTGGACAAATCTAATGATCTCTACCAAGACAGTCAAAAGAATGGCAAAGAATAAGTTCCAGAAAAGCAAGGGTTTTGAGAAGATGACAGGATTTGGCACACAGCCTCCATCTTTGGAATGTGAGAAGTGAGACTACTAATACAGGTAGTCCTCATTTTGGACGTATTTGTTAGGATGAACTGCACTTAACGACCCTTTTAAACACAAGTAAACATGTTATTTACTAATATGTACTACAAACAACGTTGCAGTGTGTAATTTACTGATACTCTCAGATGGTCACTCGCAAACAAAGATCGAATTTAAAAATTTATAACAAATGGTAATAATAACACAAACTAAAAAAACAACAAAAAAGGAGGTAGTCTACTTAGGTCAGAACCAAATTACGACGGAGTCTTCAGACTGGAACCCCATAAGTCGAGGACCAACTGTACAGGCTGGGGGGGGCGTAGACAGATTACTGTTTTTTTTTTTTTTTTAATTTTAAAAGACCAGATACAGAAGCTCTGGTAGCGTAGTGCCAAAAGCATCTGACTGCTAACCAGAAGGCTGGCGGTTCAAACCCACCAGCCACTCCTCCGAAGGAAGAGTGGACAATCTACTTTCGTAGTGATACTGCCTCGGAAACCCAAGAAGGGGGTCGCTATGAGTCGGATTCGACTTGACGGCAGAGAGTTTGTTGTTTTTATTTGAGACAGATACAGAATCTTCAGGTGACAGCCAGGTTTCAGTTCAAAAAGAGTCGTTCAGAGAAAAGTTGATCCGGAAACGAGAGTACCAGAGGTCTAATGGTAGGGGATAAGGAGGGGACCGAACCAGCAGAGGTTGACTTTGTCTTTCACTTACCTGCGCCACACCAATCCC